ATACATGCCAAGTTACAAAACAAGCTAATCACAAGGAATATAATGTACACTTAGCGTGCTATGAGAATGCAGCCACCAATATTTAATGTATCTGATTGAACCTATTGTGTGAATGCAGCCACTTTGTTCCCACGGCACATTTAACTGAGGCAATGTGTTGTAGACAATGGCATCCATACTAGACCTTAAAAAAAAGTTAAAATGACAATTAGGACCAGGGACAGCACCCAATTTCTGATCATGTGACTATGGGGACACAACAGAAGTTGTAATAGCAATAGCAATACACTTAGACTTATATACCACTTCATTGTGCTTTACAGCTTTCCCTAAGCCAGTGGTTCTCAACCTGTGGGTTGGGACCCCATTTGGGGTCGAATGACCATTTCACGGGGGTCGCCAAACAACGCAGTCCGCCATTTTTTTCCCCTTTTCCTTAGCTGTGCTACTCCCTTTTATTCTATTGGCTTTTGAAAGCCAATAGAATATACTCTCTTGAATAGAGTCTAATTCTATTGGCTTTCAAAAGCCAATAGGAATTGTCCAGGCTGTCTCTGCCCTGCTGAGCCCACCAAAAGTCCCATTCTGCAAATGGTGCTGCACCAGTTGAGTAGTCCTCGACTTACGACCGGTTGGGGGTCACAACATTAAAAAGGTTGAGAACCACTGCTCTAAGTGGTTTTACAGAGTCAGCCAATTGCTCCCAGCATTCTGGGCCTTCATATTACTGATCTCAGAAGGATGGAAGGCTGAGTCGGCCTTGAGCCGGTCAGGATCGAACTCCTGGCTGTGGGTAGTGAGTTAGCCTGCAATACTGCATTCTAACCACTGCACCACCATGGCGCAGTGTGTGGACCAGTTGTAGATTTTTTTTTTCAGTGACGCTTTGGTCACTAAACAAAGGTTGTAAATGGAGGAGTACCTGCAATCAAATCCCACCCCTTTTTTATACAGATTGTTATATTTTACTTCTGCATGGATGCCAATGATTGTAGGAACGCCAAAACTAGACAACTACTTCATCTCAACTAGACTCCTTCATGCACTGAGATAATTAAGTCTGTTCAGACAATTGTTTGCAAGAACATCTAAACCTGTTCAATTAAATCCATTGTGTCCACCCTGTTGAAAGAGTAAGAGATGAAGAGCAGGTCTAAAATAGTCTGTCACAGGACTATTCCTAACACTGGTTGGTTGCAGTGGCTCAAATGCAACTCACTATTGGCTGCTTGATACCATGAAGTCTTACCTGGAATCTTATGGTACAAATGCTCATTAGAAACCAGATAGAGCTACAAAAATTCAGACAATCACTAAATGGCAGCAAAGAAGTCTGGAAAACTCATAATTCCTGCTATTGATTTTGATTACGTAGATTTTTGAAGCCTACAGCATTAAGGGTAGGCACTTCCTAGAAGTGGAAGACTTTTATGTCCAGAATTGTAGTTCTTTGCTCAGTTTGAGAGATGGTAGGCCATCACAACCAACAAGAATGAACAAAGAACGTAGAATAATAGAGTTGGAAGGGACCTCACCATTAGGAAATGGAGAGATTGCCACAAAGTGGAGAGGGTTCAACTTATTTTCCAAAGCACCAAAGAGAAGGACAAGAAACAATGGATGGAAACTAATCAAGGAGAGAAGCAACCTGGAGTTAAGGAGAAACTTCCTAACAGTGAGAACATTTAATCACTTGAATAGCTTGCCATCAGAAGTTGTGGGTGCTTCATCACAAGAAGTTTTTAAAAAGAGACTGGACAGTCACTTGTCTGAAATAGTATAAGGCAGCGGTGGCGAACCTATGGCACGGGTGCCAGAAGAGGCACTCAGAGCCCTCTCTGTGAGCACACGTGCTGTTGCCCCATCCTAGGCCTTCAGCTGGGTTTTATAAAACCTTTTCGCTTTAGGCCTCTGCCACCGTGTGCAAAAAAAAAAAAAGGTTCAATCAATCAGTCAATTTCAACTTCTTGCACGGGAAAAAAAAGATCTTGCAAAGTTGGAATTGATTGATTGAACTTTTTAGTCCCACCCAGTCTGCCATTACCACCGCAGCCATGCCCAGCCAATGGGCCACACCCACCCAATGGGCCACACCCACCAGGCACCCAATGAAGCATAAGTGGGTTTTAGGTTGCAGTTTGGGCACTCGGTCTCTAAAAGGTTTGCCATCACTGGTATAGGGTCTCCTGCTTGAGCAGGGGGCTGGAGTAGTCCCTTCCAGCTTTATTCTGATTCTGATTCAGCTACACTATTTCTTTAAAAAAATTCTCCTTAGTTCTAAGTTGCTTCTCTCCTTGGTTAATTTCCATCCATTGTTTCTTGTCTTGCCTTCAGGTGCTTTGGAAAATAGTTTGACCCCCTCGTCTTTGTAGGAGCCCTTCAAATATTGAAGCAGTGCCATCATGTCTCCCCTGGTCCTTCTTTTCATTAGACTAGACAAACACAATTCCTGTAACCGTTCTTCATATGTTTTAGCCTCCAGTCCCCTAATCATTTTTGTTGCTCCTCTGCACTCTTTCCAGAGTCTCAACATCTTTTTTACATTGTGGTGACCAGAACTGGGTGCAGTAGTCCAGGTGTGGTCTTACTAAGGCTTTCTAAAGTGGTACTAGAACTTCACATGATCTTGATTCTGTCCCTTTATTAATGGAAATGCAGCTGCTTAGGGGATGACAGGATGGTGTGTATTGTCGGAAGAGGCCCAGTGCCTCACACCTCACTGAGCTGCTTTAGGATAAAATAGTGTGACTGGAAGACAATATATGTCACTAAGCTCCTTGAAAGTGAGAGATAACAGTTACAAAGAAATAACAATGCAAACCAAGTTGTATTCTCTGTTCCTTCTTATTTCTGCATTGTTTGGGTTGTAAAATGAACGTAGAGAGGAAAATAGCCCCTTTCAATCTCTTCCTTTCTAGACAGAAAACTCCAAATATCACAATCTGTCCTCATAGCAAAGCTGTTCCAGCCACTCAATCATCTTAGTTGATCTCCTCTCTAGCTCCACAATCTCCTTTTGAAGGTGCAGTAACCAAAAGTGCACGCAATACAGACGTGACGTATGACCGTAAGGGAGTCTACCCATTACATTTGTAAGTCATGATACAAAAAGTCATTAATATCAACAGCACTTAGACTTATATACCACTTCATAGTTCTTCACTGCCCTCTCTAAGCAGTTTACAGAGTCCCCCTATGGCCCCCAGCAATCTGATTCCTCATTTTACTGACCTCAGAAGGATAGAAGGCAGAGTTAACCTTGAGTCGGTCAGGATCGAACCCCTGGCAGTAGGCAGAATTTGCCTACAATACTGCATACTAACCACAGAGCCACCATGGCTTCATTAAGTGAATGTCATGGTCCTTAAGCAGACCAATGGTTCAGCAGGGGCATGGTTTTGCTGAAAACCCGAAGTAAATGTTGGTTTTAGGAAAACTATCATAAAACGTACTCATGTGAACATGAGACACTGCAAACAGCTACAAATGTGGTCACATTACTGAGTGCCCAAAGTTCAGTCAAAAGTTTGGGGGGGGGAGGAAAGGGTGAGTACATCTTTCATAACTTTGAGCAGTCCATGTTGGTCATAGGTGGAGGGCTACCTGTATTCCAGATGTGGTCATATCACAAAATGTTAGTGGCATCTCTATTTTCAGTGCCATTCCCTAACATGCTGTTGGCTATTTTTGTAGCTGGCTGTTTTATTCAGCCTGTGTTAACATCTTCGTTCAACTGTTTACCATTATTCCAAAATCTCTTTCTTCAACAATCATCGAAACAAGAAGGAGAACGTCAGAAGTTGGCTGGGGATACAATTTTCAAGAAAAACAACAATATCTTTAAGGGGGGGGAAACTAAAGAGGAGAAGAAAGCTTCCGAACTGGGGAACATCTCAGTAGAAACAAAAGGCAGATTATGTGTTAGGAGGCCGGAAAAACTATATCAGCAAGAGAGAATGAACTAGGAACCAGGGGTAGGCAACCTTGGCTCTTTTATGACTCGTGGACTTCAACTCCCAGAATTCCTGAGCTGGCATGGCTCAGCATGGAAACCTCTCCCTTTCTCCTCAGCATGGCTGACTCAGGAATTCTGGGAGTTGAAGTCCATGAGTCATAAAAGAGCCAAGGTTGCCTACCCCCAAACTAGATGCTAGAACAGAGCTTCTCCACATAATACAGGCAGTTCTCAACTTACAACAGTTCATTTAGTGACTGTTCAAAGTTACAGCACTGAAAAAAGTGACTTATGACCAATTTTTACACTTGTGACTGTTGCAGCATCCCCCTGGTCACCTGATCAAAATTTGGATGCTTGGCAACTGGCTCGTACTTATGATTGTTGCTGTGTCCTGGGGTCATGTGATCCCCTTTCGTGACCTTCTGACAATCAAAGTCAACGGGGAAGCCAGATTCACTTAACAACCGTGCTACTATCTTAACAACTGCTGTGATTCGCTTAACAACCGTGGCAAGAAAGGTCGTAAAATGAGACAAAATTCACTTAACAACAGTCTTGCTTAGCAGCAGAAACTTTGGGCTTCATTGTGGTTGTAAGTTGAGGACTACCTGTACAGGTAGTTGTTAAATGAATTTTCCCCCATTTTATGACCTTTCTTGCCACAGTTGTTAAGTGCATCACAGCAGTTGTTAAGTTAGGAACACGGTTGTTGAGTGAATCTGGCTTCCCCCCATTGACTTTGCTTGTCAGAAGGTCGCAAAAGGGGATCACACGACCCTGGGACACGGCAACCATCATAAATGTGAGTCAGCTGCCAGGCATCCAAATTTTGATCACGTGGCCATGGGGATTCTACAACAGTTGTAAGTATGAAAAACAGTCATAAGTCGCTTTTTTCAGTGCCATTGTAACTTTGAACAGTCACTAAATGAACTGTTGTATGTCGAGAACTGCCTGCAGTGTGTTCTAGCACCTGCCGCTTGTAAAAAGGGTAACCACGTCTGACCTCTTTTGCAAACAGGAGATACTAACTCTGACTTACCTGGCATTTTGCTGGGCGGAGAAGAGCTGGGCTGAGCGTGGTGCGGTGACCCATGGGACAGCAAGAGGTTCATGGTGTGAGGCTGACCCGTACTGTAGGCATCCATGGCGAGCTTTTGCCGAAAAGCTTCTTCTTTCCTCCGGTTTGCAAACCAGTTGTAGACGCGGACTTCTGTGACCAGATTTGAACCCAAGCCATGTGCTTTAGAGGGTGACACACCCCGCTGGAGGCATTCTGCCCTAGAGGAGAGAATTAAGCAAATTCCTAGAGAAAGGTTGGTTGGACCCCCATGTTGGACTAACACAGGAGGAGAACTTGCTAAGAACATTACCAGGTTAAAAAATTGGTCTAACTAGCTCAATATTAATAAGAATAGAATAGAGTAGAGTAGAGTAGAGTGGAGTAGAGTGGAGTAGAGTGGAGTGGAGTGGAGTGGAGAGGAGTAGAGTAGAGTAGAGTAGAGTGGAATGGAATAGAATAGAATAGAATAGAATAGAATAGAATAGAATAGAATAGAATAGAATAGAATAGAATAGAATCTTTATTTAAAATAGAATAGAACAGAACAGAACAGAACAGAATAGAATCTTTAGATAGGATAGGATAGGATAGGATAGGATAGGATAGGATAGGATAGGATAGGATAGGATAGGATAGGATCTTTACTGAGAATGGACTGGACTGGACTAGACTAGACCAGACTACACTAGACTAGACTAGACTAGACTAGACTAGACTAGAATAGAATAGAATAGAATAGAATAGAATAGAATAGAATAGAATAGAATCTTTATTGTCACTTTAAATGTACACTAATCAGCATACATGAAAATGAAATTTTGTTGCATTGAGCTCACAAAAAAATACCATTATGCATATATCCACACATACACGCATATAAGACACAGAGAAACATCACTGCCTAGTTTGGAATGTATACAGATGCATGGTGGGGGGAGAAAAAGAATCCTGTGAATTTACAAGACAGATAGAATAAGGAACAAAGCTGTTACAGAATCTAGTAGTTCTGCTATAAACACTTCGAAACCTCCTCCCAGAGGGGAGCAGTGTTATTGTTATTCTGATTTGCAGCAACTCTCTATGATTTTTGGCCAAAAATGAAAAGTCTAAAACAAGAATGTAGGCATTGAATTAGGAATTATTTGTATGCAAGAATACTCCCTACCCCAAGAGCCTGTCCTCACATCCCCAGGACTGCAGTAACAGAATTCAGTAACTATTTTCACATGATGTGTCTGCATGATACTGGTTTCATCTCATCCTCAAGTCACAGCTGAAGCAGATGGGCTAACATTTATTTTATTTAAATAAGTAGGTAATGATGCCTAATTAAAGCACAGCTCTCAAGATTTATTTTATTTATTTTTCTCCCACCTTTATTACTTTATAAGTAACTCAAGATAGGGAACGTGTGTAAAACTCCTTGTTTCTCCTATTTTCCGTGCAACAATAATCCTGTGAGGTGGGTTGAGCTGAGAGAGGGACTGGCCCTAAGTCACTTAGCTGGCTTTCGTGCCTAAGACAGGACTAGAACTCACTATCTCCTGGTGATTGTTCACATTCTAACACTTGATTAGAAACATTTCTGAATTTCTTTTGGGTTGGAATCAGTGGAGAAAGTCACAAAAAGACCAATATTGCAATAAATTCCAGAAGACAGAATTCCTCTCAGGCCTAAAAGGAAGGATAAGCATAAGTGTGAAGTTTAATTTACAGGCTGCTTTTCTTGCCATTGATTCTGCCCTGCGTTGTGGATACCGTATATTCCGGCGTATAAGATGACTTTTGAGAGCATTGAAACAGGCGCCGAACTCGGGGGTCGTCTTATACGCTGGAATTAATGGTAGTTTCCGGCATATAAGACGACTTTCTAGGCATGCAACTCGGCATCGATCGTCTTGCAACTCGGCATCGAAGTCGGGGGTCGTCTTATACGACGGGTTGCCCTGTATGCCGGAATATATGGTATTTCAGATTCATCCTTTCTAAGGTGTGGGATACAGGTACTTATTTACCACAGCTCACTTAATGACTTACAACAGTCCATTTAATGACCGTTCAAAGTTACACTGGCACTGACAATTTTTCACACTTATGACCGTTGCAGCATTCCCATGGTCATGTAATCAAAATTCAGATACTTGGCAACTGTCTCATATTGATGATGCTTGCAGTGTCCTGGGATCATGTGACCCCCTTTTGCGACCTTCTGACAAGCAAAGTTAATGGAAAACCCAGATTCACTTAACAACCTTGTAACTAATTTCAGAACTGCCGTAATTCACTTAACGAATGTGGCGAGAAAAGTTGTAAAATGGGGCAAAATTCACTTAACAAATTTCTCACTGAACAACATACATTTTTTGGCTCAATTGTGATCGTACGTTGAGGACTACCTCTATTTCTGAGAAGGTTAACCTCTAAAGCCCTGGTGGCACAGTGGTTAGAACGCAGTATTGTAGGCAAATTCTGCCCACAGCCAGGAGTTCGATCCTGAGCGGCTCAAGGTTGACTCAGCCTTCCATCCTTCCAAAGTCGGTAAAATGAGGACCCAGATTGTTGGGGGCATTCTGCGGACTCAGTACACTGCTTAGAGAGGAGTATAAAGCACTGTGAAGCAGTATATAGGTCTATGTACTATTGCTACTGCTATTTTTTAGCCTCCATAATTTGGACCGTTCTGGGATCCTTTCATCAGGATTGTTTGATCAAGCAAAGCAGAGCGGGAATTTAATTTTTAAAAATGAACTTAAAAATAACATTTAAAAAACTCAAATGGAATCTCAAATAGATGGCAGCCAAATCATTTGTGAATTAGAACTTGCAAGGAATGATTAAAAAAAAAAGTTAAGATGTTTTGGCAGGTAGTTGAGGCTCACATGTTTTTTTTTATCTGCGTGGTGGTGACACATATTAAGGGCAAGAGGGGTCAGCTACATGATTGTGAGTACCAGCTTGACATTTTTTGACTCCTCCTGCAAATGCCCCCCCCCCAAAATCTTCCCTTACTAAAAGCGCATGGCCTTATTGTTAATCAAAGTTGGTCAAATTCATTTAATCGGACCTTGCACTTAGTTTATGGTACGTTAGCTGCTTCTTTTAAAGCAGGACTTTTAAATCAGTTGCTCTAAGATGTGGAATAATCTCCTAGCCAATACACACACACACACACACACACACACACACACACACACACAGAGGTACATTCAGTCCTCGCACTTAACAACTATGAGTAGTGTGTATGGAGATTCTCAGTCATCCAGGTCATGGTTGTCCCAAAGGAGGCAACTGTACTTTATTTTTTGAAGATATTTCACTTTTCATCAAGAAGCTTCTTCAGCTCTGACTTCCCCACTATCCAGTCAGAAGCTTCTTGGATGAGAAGAGAAAAAAGAGAAAAAAGAAAGTCCAATTGCCTCCTGAAAAAGCACCTTTGGGACAACTATGAGTAAGAGGTAGGTTTTGGCAAAACTGTCGTAAAACGCACTCGTGTGACCGTGGGATGGTGCAAACAATCATCAATCTGGCTGTTTTGCCAAGTGCCCCAAATTCAGTCACCTGACTCTGGAAGGGACCCAAATGTCTGAACTTTGGAACTAGGCCCTAAGTAGCCCTAAGGTCGATCCAGTGTGACTTCAAATGGTCATATCATGTCAAGGATTACCTGTACTCAAAGCCTGCACAAATTGTGACCACCATATTGAACAAATTCAGTGAAGCAATTATTCTCTTGATCTTGTTAAGCTTCCAGTGGAGGTTGGGAAACTGTCAGCTAGGCTGGAAGAAGGAGTCAAGTGAGGGTCTAGCTTAGATTCCTTGCACAGCCGCAAGTGGCATAAACGTGACCTCCCCCCAAGAACCACAAAGCCTATCTGGTCATTCCCAGGGGAAGGCAAGCAGTCTGGGGAGATTCTTGTAACATAGGTAGAAGCCAATAGAGTTGTTTATTTCAGCTATTTGCAAGTGACTCTGATTGCTCATGCCTGGTAGTGTTATGCTTCCTTTAATGGCAAGTGCAGACTCAAATTGTGCTGACCTCTTACACAGAGAGAGAGAGAGAGGGAGGGAGAGAGAGAGAGAGAGAGAAAGAGACAGACAGACAGACAAAGATAGAGAGAGACAGAGAGAGAAAGACAGTGAGACAGAAAGAAAGAGACAGACAGGGACAGAAGAGAGAGAGATAAACAGAGAGAGAAAGACAGACAGACAGAGAAAGATAGAGAGAGACAGAGAGAAAGACAAGAAAAGACAGAAAGAAAGAGACAGACAGAGACAGAGAAGAGAGAGAGATAAACACAGAAAGACAGAGAAAGATAGACAGAGACAAAGAGAGAGAGAGAGAGAGAGAGAGAGAGAGAGAGAGAGAGAGAGAGAGAGAGAGTTGTTTGCTTAGTTAGATGGTGAGGATAGCAGGTTCTTTTCCCTTTGACCCAGAACACGCTACACCCTTCACACAATAGAGATTTTGGTTTGGAACAACAAAAGCTGCAATCTCTGCCAACAAGCTGTGAGTGATTTGATGCAGCAGCAGAAGGGGAAAAAAAAATCTCTTTTGTCCAGAGTTTTTTTACCTGTTGCATTCCTCTACCAAGGCTTCCCTCTCTTCCTTGCTGGGGTTCTTTTGCCGGTCGTAGGCCTGGTACAAGATCTGCTGGGAAGCAGGACCCCACTTAAAGCGATTGCGTCTCATCTTCTTGCTGGGTGTTTCAGCACAAGAGTCGTCTATCTGGCCCACACCCTGGTTTTGCTGGTTAAATTCTGGAAAGAGAAACAGCAGCTGATCTTGACTGCCTTTTTCTGTCATATTTCCAGAACCCTGGACTGTCTGGTTGAATTCTGAAAGAGAAAGGAGTAGATTTTTCATTGGGCCTGTCAATAGGGCTGTGCAACACACACCTGTAGGAAGAGATTCAGTTGACTTTAAGGAACGTCTCAGGGCAAGAGAACCAGGTTTCTTTGCCTGTATGGTTGGATTCAACCAGAGGTCTTCAAACTGGGCCCTTTTATGACTTGTGGACTTCAACTCCCAGAATTCCTCAGCCAGCATGCTTGGCTGAGGAATTCTGGGAGTTGAAGTCCACAAGTCATAAAAGGGCCCAGTTTGAAGACCCCTGGGTTCAACCATCCGCTAGGCCAGGGGTCCCCAACCTGTGGCCTATTGGGAATTGGGCTGCGGAAGAGGTGGGCCGTTGCACACGGGCGCTCACACAGCTCAATTTGCATGAGCACCGGGCTGGCTCATGTGCACATGCACACACAGCTCAAGTTGTGCAAGTCGAGCTGCACGTGCGTGCCAGCCCATCGCTCACATGGCCCAGTTCCCCTCTCAGCCCCCCCCCCCAGCGGGGAGCCAAGCCACAAAGGTTGGGGACTGCAGCTCTAGGCCAGGGATCCCCAACCCCCAGGCTGCAGCATGCTAGCAACCGAGCTGCACAAGCAAGCAAAACTCCATCTGCGAGATGCAGGCAGCACACAAAACCATGCCCCCTCCGGTCCGCGGAAAAACCTCTCTCCACGTAACCAGTCCTGGTGCCCAAAAGGTTGGGGACCTCTGCTCTAGGCTGTCTTTTCCATGCCCATTTTTTAAGGTTGCACTATCTGAGGTGCAAAAATCTGGACCGTCATGAGATGGGAGCCAAGCATTAGAGGTTTCTACCTCTCTTTGGTTTTTCATCTAGCAGTTGTTTAGATTTTTTTGCTATGATGACAGACATTGGCAGTTGCGTCAATAGGAAGATGACTTTCTCTCAGTGTAAACAAACGTCAACCAGGAAGCGAACAGAAATAGCCACTGGAATCTCGAAAAAGTCAATACAGGGAGTCTTTGATTTACAACTATTCATTTAGTGACTGTTGAAATATTTATTCCAACAAGCCAAATTCAGTAGGGGACTCTGTGGTTGTTAAGTGAATCTGGCTTCCTCCATTAATTTTTACTTGTCAGAATTTGGCTGGGAAGGTTGCAAATGGCAATCACATGACCCCAAAACAGTGCAACTGTCATAAGTACATGCCAGTTGCCAAGCACAGAAATTTTGATCATGTGACTCCAGGGATCCTGCGATGGTCATAAGTATGAGGACTGGTCATAAGTCACTTTTTCCAGTGCCATTGTAACTTGATCCCATTTGGTATAGTAGTAGTAGTAGTAATAATAATAATAATAATAATAATAATAATAATGTTGGAAGGGACTTAGAGATTATCTAGTCCAACCCCCTACTCAGGCAGGAAACCCTATACCATTTCAGACAAATGGATGTCCAGTCTCTTCTTAAAACTTCCAGCGTTGGAGCATTCACAACTTCTGGAGGCAGGTTGTTCCACTGATTAATTGTTCTGTCAGGAAATTTCTCCTTCGTTCTAGATAGCTTCTTTCTTTGGTTAGTTTAGTGACAACCAGTTTGGTCTAGTGCAGGGGTAGGCAACCTTGGCCCTTTTATGACTCGTGGACTTCAACTCCCAGAATTCCTGAGCCAGCCATGCTGAGGAGAAAGGGAGAGGTTTCCATGCTGAGCTATATTGGCTCAGGAATTCTGGGAGTTGAAGTCTACAAGTCATAAAAGAGCCAGCTGGATGACTTTGGGCCAATCACCAGGAGAGTGAGAATTCTAGCCCCACCTTAGGCTTGTAAGCGAGCTAGATGACTTTGGGCCTGTCAATCCAAATTTTGATCACATGACCATGGGGATGCTGTGACAGTTGCCAGTGTGGGAGGACCAGTTATAAGTTGCTTTTTCAGAGCAGTTTTAACTTTGAATAGTCACTAAATGAAAGGTTATAAGTCAAAGACTACTGAAACTGTTTTACAGTTAAAAACTCTTAAGACTGACATATTAGAAAGCAAAACGGTGATCAAAGAATCTGCGATATTCTCCAGTGTTAGAGAGAAACGGAAATCCATAACACAACAAACCAATAAAAACCACATAACACAGACTAATAAGCTGCTTTGGGTGATACTCTGAATGAATAATACAGAGGCTTTATCAGGCATCGGAGAATGTCAGATATGATTTTTAAAAAGCAAGTTGCTGTATAGGGAGTAAGAAGCCCCCATATGACTGTCTCTGATCATAACTTTGAGCAGGGGTCTTCAAACGTGGCCCTTTTATGACTGGTGGACTTCAACTCCCAGAATTCCACGTGTGCCAGGCACGTGTGCCTGGCTGAGGAATTCTGGGAGTTGAAGTCCACCAGTCATAAAAGGGCCACATTTGAAGACCCCTGGCTTAGAGCCATTTTGGTCAAGTGGTGAAGGCACCAGGCTAGAAACCAGGAGCCGGTGAGTTCTAGTTCCGCCTTTGGCAGGAAGCCATCTGGGCAGCCTTAGGCCAATCAGTCTCCCTCAGCCCAAGGAAGGATGCAAGGGTACATCACTTCTGAATTCTTGCCAAGTAAACTGCAGGGATCTCACCAGGCAGCTGCCAGGAGTCAATATTGAGTCAAAGGCATGCACACACACACACACACACACACACACACACACACACACACACACACACACACTTCAAATGGGAGAGAAAAGTGTGCCTGGCTGAGGAATTCTGGGAGTTGAAGTCCACAAGTCATAAAAGGGCCAAGTTGAAAAACCCCTGTCTTAAATCTAACAAACAAAATGGAGGCTGGCTGAGGAATTCTGGGAGTTGAAGTCCACCAGTCATAAAAGGGCCACATTTGAAGACCCCTGGCTTAGAGCCATTTTGGTCAAGTGGTGAAGGCACCAGGCTAGAAACCAGGAGCCGGTGAGTTCTAGTTCCGCCTTTGGCAGGAAGCCATCTGGGCAGCCTTAGGCCAGTCAGTCTCCCTCAGCCCAAGGAAGGATGCAAGGGTACATCACTTCTGAATTCTTGCCAAGTAAACTGCAGGGATCTCACCAGGCAGTTGCCAGGAGTCAATATTGAGTCAAAGGCATGCATACACACCAAATGGGAGAGAAAAGTGTGCCTGGCTGAGGAATTCTGGGAGTTGAAGTCCACAAGTCATAAAAGGGCCAAGTTGAAAATCCCATCTTAAATCTAACAAACAAAATGGAGGCTGGCTGAGGAATTCTGGGAGTTGAAGTCCACCAGTCATAAAAGGGCCACGTTTGAAGACCCCTGGCTTAGAGCCATTTTGGTCTAGTGGTGAAGGCACCAGGCTAGAAACCAGGAGACGGTGAGTTCTAGTTCCGCTTTTGGCAGGAAGCCATCTGGGCAGCCTTAGGCCAGTCAGTCTCCCTCAGCCCAAGGAAGGATGCAAGGTACATCACTTCTGAATTCTTGCCAAGTAAACTGCAGGGATTTCTCCAGGCAGTTGCCAGGAGTCAACATTGAGTCAAAGGCATGCATACACACCAAATGGGAGAGAAAAGTGTGCCTGGCTGAGGAATTCTGGGAGTTGAAGTCCACAAGTCATAAAAGGGCCAAGTTGAAAATCCCATCTTAAATCTAACAAACAAACTGGAGGCTGGCTGAGGAATTCTGGGAGTTGAAGTCCACCAGTCATAAAAGGGCCACGTTTGAAGACCCCTGGCTTAGAGCCATTTTGGTCTAGTGGTGAAGGCACCAGGCTAGAAACCAGGAGACGGTGAGTTCTAGTTCCGCTTTTGGCAGGAAGCCATCTGGGCAGCCTTAGGCCAGTCAGTCTCCCTCAGCCCAAGGAAGGATGCAAGGTACATCACTTCTGCATTCTTGCCAAGTAAACTGCAGGGATTTCTCCAGGCAGTTGCCAGGAGTCAACATTGAGTCAAAGGCATACGCACGCACGCGCGCGCACTCTCACGCACACATACACACACAAACTTCAAATGGGAGAGAAAAGTATCAGCTGGATCTAAGAAAATGACTACAGGCAATCCTTGACTTACAATTGTTTGCTTAGTGGTTACAGTATTTGAAGTTACAACAGTAGCTGCCCAGAGCTACTTATCAACCGGATTTCAAACACACACACACACACACACACACACACAAATTGTCATGCGATCACATTTGAGGCACTTATCAACCAGACTGCATTTATCGTTGTTTGCAGTCTCAATCATGTGACCATGATTTAGGATGCTTTTGCCCAGAAACCAACATTTTATAGGTAGTCCTTGACTTATCACAATTCATTTAGTGACTGTTCAAAGTTACCATGGCACTGATAAAAGTGACTTCCCTCCCTTTCCTTCTCTTCCCTCTCCTCCCTCCCTTATTCCTTCCTTCTCCCTTCCCTTCCCTCCCTCCCCTCCCTCCCTTTCCTCCTTGTACTCTTCTTTCTTCCTTCCTTCCTTTCTTCCCTACTCTCCCCTTTCCTCCCTTCCTTATCCTCCTTCCTTTCCCCTCCCTTCCCTCCCCTCCCTCCCTTTCCTCCTTGTACTTCCTTCCTTCCTTCCTTCCTTCCTTCCTTCCTTCCTTCCTTCCTTCCCTGCTTTCCTTCCTTCCCACTCTTCTTTTCCTCCTTCCTTCTCCCTCCCTTCCCTTCTCCCTCTTCTCCTTGTACTCTTTTTCCTTCCTTCCTTCCTTCCTTCCTTCCTTCCTTCCTTCCTTCCTTCCTTCCTTCCTTCCCTGCTTTCCTTCCTTCCCCCTCTTCCTTTTCCTCCTTCTCCCTCCCTCCCTTCCCTTCTCCCTCTCCTCCTTGTGCTCTTTTCCCTTCCTTCCTTCCTTCCTTCCTTCCTTGCTTCCCTTCCTTCCCCCTCTTCCTTTTCCTCCTTCCTTCTCCCTCTCTCCCTTCCCTTCACTCCCTCTCCTCCTTGTACTCTTTTTCCTTCCTTCCTTCCTTCCTTCCTTCCTTCCTTCCTTCCTTCCTTCCTTCCTTCCTTCCTTCCCTCCCTCCCTCCCTCCCTCCCTCCTTCCTTCCTTCCTTCCTTCCTTCCTCCCCTCTACTTCCCTTCTCTTCTTTCTCTCTGCCTGACCTCTTCTCCCTTCCTTTCCCCTCCCCTCTCCATCTGACCTAGGAATACCCCAGAGATTCAACAGAAAAGCTTATTTGGGACAAGAAAATTGCACTTGTGGGGAAAGCTGACATTTCTAAATGCACCTTTTTCTGCTGCTGATAAAAACCAAGAAGCTGGTTTACAAAAGAGGGGGGGGGACTGGCTGGGAGGTGGAGAGCTGATACGTGCAACCCTGCCTCAAACTCATCCATCAAAGCAATGATGATTAGACTATGCAACACCTTGTGGTATCTCACACTCCCGCTTAAATCCTAAACCATAAAAAAAAAGTCAACAAGTTTATCTTTGGATGTGCAAGACTGTGGCCAGCTCACTGGATCACTTTGTCCTGACCACATTGTTCCCCCAAGGAGAGCCGGCTGCATTTGGCACAATAGCCCATTCGGCTTTATCCATCATTTGGAGACAAATTTCTAAAAAGGAAATCTCCCTTCTACTATTCTGCAAGGTAAGAAAAGAAATGGGAAAAGGGACAGGGAGAAAAAGACAGCTTCCAAAGTTAAACAATCTCTAAGTTCCAAGAATTGAGGGTCAGTCTGATGTGCAGGTAATCTTCGACTTGCAACAGTTCATTTAAATGTAACTTGGAAGTTACAGCTGTCATGGCACTGAAAAACGTCACTTATAGCTATTTTTCACACTTACGACCATTGCAGCATTCCCCTGATCAAAATTCAGACTGTTGGCAACTGGCTCATATTTATGACGGTTGCAGCCTCCTGGGGTCATGTGATCCCCTGCAAACCGCTGACAAAAAGCCATATTCACTCCAAAACTGTGCTAGTAACAACTGCAGTGATCCTCTTAACAACTGTGGTGAGAAAGGTCATAGAATGGGGCCAGGCTCACTTAACAGCTGTCTTGCTTTGCAACAGAAATTTGGGGCGGTCGTAAGTCAGGGACTCTGTGTAAAATCAACTTCGGAGTTTCCTTCACTGAGAAGCATTCCATCTTCATGTCTGGAGAGCATCCATCGAAAGAGACTGACAGGGGATCTGTGCCCACACATACGTAGAGGCAGTCCTCCACTTACGATAGTTCATTTAGTGACCGTTCAGAGTTACAACGGCACTGGAAAATGTGACTTATGACCATTTTTCACACTCACGACCAGCATGCCCACAATCAGAATTTGGACTTTTAGCAACTGGAATGCATTTAAGATGGTCGCAGTGTCCTGGGATCGTGTGATCAACTTTTGCAACCTTCTGACCAGCAACGTCAATGGGAAACCAGATTTACTTAACGACCAGGTTACTAATGTAGCAATTGCGGTGGTTCACTTAACAACGGTGGCAGGAAAAGTCAAAAAATGGGGCAAAACTCACTTAACAAATGTCTCGCTTAACAACAGATATTTGGGGCTCAGTTGTGGTCGTAAGTCGAGGACTACCTGTATAACATCCATCCCAACCTCTCAAACCATAGTGTTACTTACGCCGGAGGATCTCTCTCTGTTTCCGGACATACCACGTATAAAGGGCTGCCCGCTTCTGCGTTTTCATCGGCGTCCCCTTGTTGAGATGCTGGGAAAGGTGCGACTGATTCAGTCCAGTGACATCCACCACCTCTCTTTGGGGGATGTTGTGTTGTTGCATGTAGCCCTTGATCATCTTTGCAGCTCGCCAAGGGTCTTCACTAAAAAGAAGGAAAGATTTCTAGTTAGTGTTTAGTCAAGGAGAGATGTAGAAGGAACAGGACACTGAAGCATGTCAGGCAACTAGAAAACCAGGAGGAGGGGATTGGGCACATGGAAGAGGAATTAAAGTTGCTTCTTCTATTCCTCCATCCATGAAAGTGTGTGTGTGTGTGTGTGTGTGTGTGTGTATAAAATTATTTGAAAATGACTACAGAGTCATAGAATCAGAGACAGCCACTTTGGTCTAGTTTGGAGATTCTCAAACTTGGTCCTTTTATGACTTGTGGACTTCAACACCCAGAATTCCTCAGCCAGCATGCCTGACTGAGGGATTCTGGGATTTGAAGTCCACAAGTCATAAAAGGGCCAAGTTTGAAGACCCTTGGTCTAGTGGTTAAGGCACCAGGCTAGGAACCAGGAGACTCTGAGTTCTAGTCCTGCCCTAGCCATGAAAGCCTGCCAGGTAATCCTGGGCCAATCACCAGGAGACGGTGAGTTCTAGTTCTACTTTAGCACCTTGGAAAGAGAGCAGAGAAGAGCAACAAAGATGATTAGGACACTGGAGGCCAAAACATATAAAGAACGGTTGCTGGAGTTGGGTATGTCTAGTCTAGTGAAAAAAAGGACTAGGGGTGACATAGCCATTTTCCAATATTTGAAGGGCTGCTACAGAGAAGAGGGGGTCAGCTTATTCACCCAAGCACCTGAAGGGAGGACAAGAAGCAGTGAATGGAAAGTAATCAAGAGAGAACTAAGGAGAAAATTCCTGATAGTTTGGAACAATTTATCCATAGAATAGCTTGCCTCCAGAAGTTGTGGGTGCTCCATCACTGTAGGTTTTTAAGAAGAGACTAGACAACCATTTGCCTGAAATGCTACAGGGCAGTGGTGGCGAACCTATGGCACGGATGCCAGAAGTGGCACTCAAAGCTCTTTCTGTGGGCACGTGCGCCGTCGCCCCAGTCCTAGGCCTTCAGCTGAGTTTTATAAAACCTTTTCGCTTTACGCCTCAGCTGCCGTGTGCAAAAAAAAAAAAAGGTTCAATCAATCGGTCAATTTCAACTTCTCGCGGGGAAAAAAAAAGATCTTGCAAAGTTGGAATTGATTGATTGAACTTTTTAGTCCCGTCCAGTCTGCTGTTACCATCGCAGCCACGCTCACCCAATGGGCCACACCCAGCCAATGAGCCACACCCACCTGGCACCCAACAATGCATAAATGGGTTTTAGGTTGCAGTTTGGGCACTCGGTCTCTAAAAGGTTCGCCATCACTGCTATAGGGTTTCGTACTTGTGCAGGGGGTTGGATTAGAAGACCTCCAAGGTCCCTTCAAATTCAGTTATTCTGTTATTCTTAGTGATAACAGCTTGTTGGGTGACTTTGGGCCAGTCCCTCTCGCTCTCAGCCCAACCCACCTCATAGGATTGTTGTTGTGAGGAAAATAAGAGGAAGAAGGTCTGTTGGATATGTTTGCCTTGAGTTATTTGTAAATAAATAAATACATAAAAATAAAGGCAGAATACAAATGAATAAATATAGCTGGAAGGGACCTTGGAGGTCCTCTAATCTAACCCCTGCTCAGGGCAGAAGACCAAGCAAATTGTGGTCCAATCTTTTCTGAAAAGCCTCCAATGATGGAACACCCACAACTTCTGGAGGCAAGTCGTTCCACTGATTAATTGTTCTTACTGTCAGGAAATTCCACCTTAGTTCCAGACTGGATCTCCATTTAACAAGCTTCCACCCACTGTTTCTTGTCCTGCCTGCAGGTGCTCTGGATAATAAATTATGAGGGCCTTGGAATAAAATTACTTACAACCTGTACTTGCACTTAAAACTCTTGCACCACCCCCACAGTCATGGGATTGCAAGCCAGATAATCGGCAACCGGCTCACATTTTATGATTGCTTGCAGCAGCATGTGGTCACATGATTGCAATTTGCAACCTGGTTTCCAGAAAAAAAAAGCATCCATTTGGGAAGCTGGATTTGCTTAACAACCATATTATTTGCCTAACCATCATGATATAAATTGTTGTAAAATCAGATCCAATTGATTTCATGCAAAAACTTACAACAGAAATCATGGTCCCAGTTGTAGGAGATTACCTGTATAATGGAAGTTCATGGACAAAATCTATGTATGTCTAGATCTACTAAATCTGCTAATCTACTAAATCTAATTCTATTACATTTACTAAAATCTACAAAGATCTAGATCTTACTATTACCGTACTATGAATAATACTAGATCTAGGATCTAGCTCTATTAAAAACTGCTAAGAGTCGATACCAACTTGATGGTGCATAATCCATCAGCAATGGAATCCACCATGAAGGAAACATTTATAATCTGCAAACTCAGAGCACTAAAAGACAAACCAAGAATTCATTTGATAGTAGTGGTTGTCTTCGGCTAATTAAATTAGACTTTGTGAAGTGTGCAAGTCCTATTACAAAGTCATTTGGGTATTAAATTTTGTATAATTAATTATAGCACTACGTGGAAAAATGGTTTTAGATTTATGTCTCTAATTAAATTGAATATTGGTTAATTTTTATTGAAATTAAATATTTAATTAAACAATTTAATTTAATTTTAATTAAATATTTAATCAATTTTTATCTAACAAGTTGATAGACCACCCAACTCCATCATGGCTCTGTGTTGAGTACAGCACGAAAGAATAAAAATAAAATAATATAAAGCCAGGGAGGGAGGGAGGGAAGGACATAGGAGGGGAACTGTGGGAGTGAGGAAGGCAGGAAGGGAGGCGAAGAGAAACGAAGAAGAAATAAAAGGGAAGAAGGACAACGGAAAGGAAAGGAAAAGAAAGGAAAGGGAAAGGAAAGGAAACCCAAATACCACACATACATTAATACTAAAAACCAACAACAGAATTTTATATTTGCAGCTTTTATTGAAATGCCTTAAAGCAGTGGTTCTCAACCTGTGGGTCGGGACCCCATTTGGGGTCCAATGACCATTTCACGGGGGTCGCCAAACAACACAGTCCGCCATTTTTTCCCCCTTTTCCTTAGCTGCGCTACTCCCTTTTATTCTATTGGCTTTTGAAAGCCAATAGAATAGACTCTCTTGAATAGAGTCTAATTCTATTGGCTTTCAAAAGCCAATAGGAATTGTCCAGGCTGTCTCTGCCCTGCTGAGCCCGCCAAAAGTCCCATTCTGCAAACGGTGCTGCACCAGTTGAGTAGTCCTCGACTTACGACCGGTTGAGTAGTCCTCGACTTACGACCGGTTGGGGGTCGCGGCATTAAAAAGGTTGAGAACCACTGCCTTAAAGTGAAGGCAAAGAGGCAAACATGCCTCCATCTCTGAGCAGGGGGACTAGAGCAGAGGTCCACAACCTTTTGGGCACCAGGGACCGGTTCTGTGGAGAGAGGTTTTTCCGTGGACTGGAGGGTGCGTGTTTTTGTGTGCTGCCTGCATCCCGTGGATGGGGCTTTGCTTGTTTATGCAGACTGGTTGCTGGCATGCTGCAGCCTGGTACCGGTCCACGAACCAGGGGTTGGGGACCCCTGGACTAGAGCACAGGTGGGCAAGCTGTATCCGGAGGCCTCTGTGACCCCAACCATCACTTTCAGCATCCCTGAAGCATCCTCACCTTTTCTATTTTTCCCTTTTGGTGTGGGGAGCCACGTGGATTAAGAGCCAAAAAGGAAATGTTTAAGGCTGTAATTTCATACCTCCATTTCTCTCTCTCTCTCTTTAACCACCCCACAATTTGGTCCTACTTCCTCCATTAATGTCACAATTTCTGTGATTCATCACTTGACTGACACTTTAGGACAGTGGTTCTCAACCTTTCTAATGCTGTGACCCCATAATACAGTTCCCCATGTTGTGGTGACCCCCAAGTGGGTGTGGCCACCAATAAGAGGGAGTAGGACAGCTAGGGAAAAGGGAAAAAAATGGCGGACAGCGTGGTTTGGCGACCCCCGTGAAATGGTCATTCGACCCCAAATGGGGTCCCGACCCACAGGTTGAGAACCACTGCTTTAGGAGGAGAGCCTTTGTAGTCTATGGTGGCAAAGAAATCAAGGGGTGTCTGCCCCTTTTCTGAATAATACATTTTATTAATTAATCAGTGGAACAGCCTGCCTCCAGAAGCAGTAAATGCTCCAACGCTGGAAGTTTTTAAGAAGAGACTGGACAGCCATTTGTCCGAAATGGTGTAGGGTTTCCTGCCTGAGCAGGGGGTTGGACTAAATGACCTCCAAGGTCCCTTCCGACTTTACTACTATTACTATTACTATTAAAAGCATAAACTTCCATATGCTCAGGTAATACTGGGCATCATTTGATTTTTGACTTCACTGAAGCTTTCTGAAGCAAAATACTACCTAAATATCTCTGTCCGTCCGTCCGTCCGTCCATCCATCCGTCCGTCCGTCCGTCCATCCATCCGTCCATCCTTTCATCCATCCATCCGTCCTTTCATTCATCCATCCATCCATCCATCGAAAGTATCTATTAACAGTCCATTTATCCATCTATCTAATTTATCTTCTATCAATCAACAGTATCATCTATCCATCTCTCTTTCTTTCTCTCTCTTTCAAATTTGTTTGCTTCTTATCTCACCCTGGGGCTACTCTAGGCAGCTTATAAGAATAAAAAGGAAAAAAATGAAAAGAATGTGCACAGAAGTAAGCTAATAGAACAATAAAAATCAATAAAAAAGAACACAATATCTATAAATCCGTCATCTCTCAAAAATATCTATTATCTATCTATCCATCCATCCATCATCAACAGTATGTATGTATGTATGTATGTATGTATCTATCTATCTATCTATCTATCTATCTATCTATCTATCTATCTATCTATCTATCTATCTATCTCCCAAACTTTCTAAGCATTGTTCTTAGTTAAATAAGAGGCAGCAACTCTTAACTATTTACTCCCAGTATCTGTCTTGCCATATACGAATTAACTCAATTAACGCTCTGGCATCGTTTGTCACCTCCTACTC